AATATTTTTTAAAAATTAGGCCCTTATATGTAATTATTTTTAATTTGGGCCCGTATTTGTAATTATTTTCACTTTCCAGGCCCTTATTTGTAAATTCCCCAAATATTTAATATAATAAAAAAAATAGTTTATTATAGAAGAAAAGATTTTATAATTATAATAAATTTAATAATAATTTGTGCATATAAAATACTATTCTTAAACGAATTAGCAATTAAATTCTTTACGACTATACTATTTTAACTGTTATATAATATACTGTATACATATTATAAGTATAGTATACTAGTTTTATATACTCAAATGTAGTATATACTACTTTACTAAACTATACACCACTATTCATAATACCGTTATGACTGTGAAACATAAGCCTATAAGACGAATTAATATATTTTATTAAATTATACTGATATATATCTTGATTAATAAAGTTTGTGGTTAATATAAGTTCTAGCTACAATATTAACAGTCAACGACCCAATGCTAAGAATCGAGCTTGATGAAAATTTATTTCAAAAGTATACAATAATTAACAATAATTAATGTTCTAATGTTCTGATATTGCATCACCGATCACAATAACATTCACTTCGTATTACGGTTTGAATAAATATTGTGTAGTAATGTGTAGTTATGTGTAGTTATGTGTAGTTATGTGTAGTTGAAACATTAGAAGTAGTGGCTACGTAACAGTAACTACGTATCTAATGACTTGTACATATTGGGTAGTTAATGACTTTTGCTTTGGCCAACCACCAACTACGTATCGGCGGTACCTTCCCGAATTTGACTAATATATGTTGTATGATGCTTGGATTGTCATAATGGATTCTAAATTAACCTATAAAAAATTTTTTTCATCGGTCATATGTTATTTTATTACTAAGATTTTCCATCGGCAAATATTTTGACAATATTTACGTCCAATTATTATCACCAACGAGTCAAGGCTTGACGAATAGCATAACGGGCTCTCAAAAACACTTAAAATTGATTTATACATTGGATATATATATATACTCTGAATGATATGTACGTTGTAATCATTTTAACCGTTGTTGTACATATATATAAACTTGTTTTTATTTAAGTCGACAATTAAATTTTTTCTTTTTTTTTATTTATTCATTTTATTTTGCTTTATTTATTTATTTTTTTTTTTATACAATTATTATTTATTTTGTTTTATTATTATTATATTTTATTTTATTTTTTATTTAAACTACAACGCCCTTGAGGCGTAATTTTTATCTATGTTGTATGTTGACAGTGAATAATCATTGGTAATTTGAATTCATATTATTTCAATAATATACTGTTCTAATGATACATCTATAAAACTTTCTTTAGTAAATTTTGTACACTATTTTATAAACCTTATTTATTGTTTGCATCACTGAAATTCAGTATTTACATCACATTGAAATTCAGTATTTGCATCACATTGAAATTCAGTATTTGCATCACATTGAAATTCAGTATTTGCATCACTTAAATTCAGTATTTGCATCACTGAAATTCAGTCGTTGCATCACTGAAATTCAGTATTTGCATCACTGAAATTCAGTATTTGCATCACTGAAATTCAGTATTTGCATGGATTAATTTGTATCGTCGAATATGTGTATTATCGAGTGAATAATGAAACTCGATTTGGTGATATGAATATCCGAATAATTATTCAACGGATCAGACCTTTAGTTGACCAAAGTTTTTGGAATATAAAGGTAAGAAAGTACTTCAAAAAAAAAAAAGCACAATTGATTATTTATACGTACTTATTTTGATATTATTCAAGCCAAACATCCTTTTATATAGTAATTGAACCTTTGAAGGTAAATAAGTAACACTGATAAATTAATGACGCTTGCGTTTCAGAAATGCTTTGTTTTTATAACTATGTTAGGATTTAGAATTAGTTTTGAATAAGTGGATTTTGGTAATGTTTATACAGATGATCCTCATTAATATCAACCCATTTGGATTGATTTAAATCCATGTTGATTAGAGTTGATATGTATAAGGGAATTTTAATATATAAATATATATATATATAAATTTGGATTGATATTAACGAGGGTCCTCTGTATTTTTAAATTGAAGTCCGGTCCCTAATTTTCAGCTTCGGTCGCGATATTAAGTAGATTATGTATTGAAGTAGCATACTTCCAATCAATGTTAACGAACAAAAGACACTTAGTACAGCATCTTGTACGGAGACTACCGGTGATAAATTGACCAAAACCAGAACCTTTTCCTAAGTTAAAAGTAATACAATACAAAACATGATCTTCGATTTAATCGCGTATAATTTTTATAGTAATAAAAGTGACAAACACTTCTGCATAATGAACATCTAAATATTTTGTAAGGAGTTCCGCCAACGATTTCGAATGAAGCAAAAAAAGTTGTACAACCTATCGCTATACAATTTTCCAATGTCTTTAACCGATCCTTAACCTCAAATCCTAATTTTAGTTGCTTCATTTTAAATACTTTTTCAAATAAAAGAATCAAAAAACGGTGTGGTAATATCGATATGTATCAACCTTGCAAATTTAAAGAACATCTATGTGAGTGCTGCAGAGCGAAAACCTGGAAGTGAATACTTGAAGTTTTCACTATGGCGAGTTTAGCCCCTGATGGATTCT